TCCATTCATTAATTTTAATTTGAACTCCTACCGACATTAATATTATCTTTGTTTCCCTACTTGCCTTATTGTTAATTCATCCTGTTTTACTTTACGGCTGCAAAACGTGGCCATTAACAGTAGAAGATACTCGCAAATTACTAGTATTTGATCACAGACTTCTTAGAAATTAGTGCTCGTATCTGCTGGGATCATCGGGTAAGTAATAGCGAGGTTAGACTCAGTGTATTAGGGAATGATGGTAAATCAGTTGATGAGGTTGTAAATCTTCGTCGACTAAGATGGTTGGGTCACGTGTCATTTATGCTTGAACATCGATTACAATGACGTGCAATGCTGACTAGTGTTAGAGACGGTCGGAAGATATTTATGGGCGGCCAAATTAAAACGTGACATCAGTCCTTAAAGTCATATTGGTAGATGCAGACTACTTGGTTGGGATCGTGTGATTACCGTAACCAATGGTTGGAAACTGAGTGATATGGCTCAGAGTCGATCACAATGTGGCGTACTAGTATACACTCTTTGTCCTCCCTTAAACCATGAGATTAAAATTACCTTATGCCTTTCTTTCTATGAACTCATTCTTCCTGTATCATATTCTTATATGCAATCTCATATATATATATTTCTACTATTAAAGTAACTTTTTCTATGAATTTGATGATTATCTTATCGTGCTAATGAGTTGTGTCAACTTGAACCGATGCATATATGTGGCTGTTCCTGCGTTGTAGATGATTGATTTATTGTTTGGTTTACTTAGAGCTGTGTTATTGTGAAATATGTAGAAGTCTGAACCGACAAACATTTGTACCGTCTTCTATGTAGTTAATTCTTTTCCATGAGTTGTAATTCAACTGATTACAAAGTACATAGACGACAATTCACTTTTCATTACACTGTATTACTCGCCTTATTTGTTTACTTGACTTCATATAATATTCGTTTGTATTTATTTTATGATTGAAGTCCTTCAGCTAAACCTCCGTTAATTGGTAATTGTGATGGGGAATATGAATTGAGTCCACGTAAAACTCAATTAGACTGGCGTATACCCATAGTTAACAGTAATAATTCATCTGGTTCCCTCGAGTTCACATTAAAAACAGAACGTGGTGCACAAGCAGAACAATTTTTCCCGTTGAAATTAAACTTTGGATCAAATAAATCATACTGTGGAATTCAGGTAATATATGTTTACATGTGTCTTGTATGATATAAGAGGGATCAAACTATATCATAGTATCAGCTCATGAAGTCATTGACAATTAGATTGAAGCATGTTATAATAGGTGCAGACCACCAGTTTGGGGTCTGAGTGATTATCGTAACCAGTGTTGTTATAGGCCCAAAATCGTTTGCAATGGTGCACGTGTATACACTCTTTTGTATCCCCTAAATTCTTATGTACGTTCTGTGTGGATTGCCTCGATATTATCTTAAGTCACAAGCATTTTAAGCAAAGATGGGTGGTGGATAATAGTAAAATCCAAGACGATCGTTTAATCTTATTTGGAACTCGTTAGCTTGGTGTGTTTGCTTCCCCGAGTTGATGTTCACTCTGGGACTCGAATCCTGTACCGTTCGCTCCAAACGCCATCCAGTTGCTGACGAGTCCTAAATCGGACGACACGTCCGTCCTGGATTCCTCTGCTAGCCACTATCCATCTTTTCTATTTTATGACAGGATATTTTCTGAATTACTAATATTACTCATTATTTATTATCCAGCTGTAAAGTTTATATACTCGGCATAGGATTATACATTTTCTTACGTATGAAGACTAATAATACTACAACCTGTTTTGATAAAATCAAAATTGATGATATCAGAGTTTAAAACGGTGACATAAAAATGGAACACTTCAGTTACCAAGTTACTATTTCACTTTTAGTATACCATATTCTGTCTTGTTAAATAAAGTTAGTTACATTATATCATTGTATATTATTGTATTTTTTTTTATTAATTTTTAGATAATAGAAGCTACTGTAAGCAATCAGGACACCCCGATCAACTTTTCATATGAATCCAATTTTCATACGGAAAAATACGAAATTAGTTAAATTGATCATTTCATCATCATCTTTTTCTTCTTCAGTCTATTCGATGTTATGTGTGTGTGTGTGTATCAATTGACTTTGTTATTCAATTTGCCTGATCATCTGTGATTTGGATTATTGTAATGGGGTTTTCATTTTCTTTGTTCTCCTTTTATATATGGTTTTGACCAAATAATAAATAATATTATCCCTTCGTTTATTGATTTTTTTGTCTATAAGACAAGAGAGTGATGAAGATTTATTTATTAGTTTGTAGATTGGCGGTGAACTATACACTTAGTACTTTATTTGCACTGGTTATTTGAATCTTCTTATCGATATTCAGGACTGCGATTGATCTCAGTCTTTCGGCATATGTACATCCTGTACAGATTCTCACGATATTGACGCTAAGTTATAAGCATTTTTAAGTAGAGACGATTAGTAGCTAGTATTAGAATCCAGAACTGTTCTACTGGATGTATCTGCATCCCAGAGTTGATGTTCACTCTCGGATTCGAACTCAGTACTGTTCGGAAAGATTCAAATAACTAATACAAACGAATTAAACTTCACCTCATTTCACAAGCCAATAGGTATCCGAACTCAGTAGTTAAGTGGATAACACAAGTTTGAAGCAAAATGTGTTGGTTTTGAGTCCCGGGTTTGACATCATCTCTGGCTGAAATAGGATGAAACTGACATCTTTGATTCCACTCCTAGCCATCACCTATATATACACTTGAATGGTTAAAGTGAATGACTTAACGGTTATAGCAACCAACTCTCAACTGTTAGACCCCTAGTCTGAACCGCGTCTTCAGTACATTTATTTACGTAGTCAGATATTGTTAGTAACTTTACCTACAATGTAGCTCAAAGCTGACTACGTACATACTAGTAGTCTGGTTTATCAAATGACAATGGAAGTCGATAATATTTGATGAGATCACAAGACCCGAAAGACTAAAAGTTTACAAAAATCCTATCCAAAAGGTTACAGTCTCATACATACAGCAGAATAACTCAATAATAAATTGTAAACTTTTCTTATAGTCCTCAATGAATGTTAAATAACTAACATGTTTTATGTATAGCACTTACTAGTTAGGTTTTACATTTTGTGATGTGTTCGCTTGATGCTACTGAAGGTCTTGAATTGTTCTCTAACATTAAGACTTGAGCATACAGAAATCAATTTTGCCACAAAGATAGTGGATATTGGAGTTACTTCTGTTCTGAACCATTTGTTGAGTCTTCATTGATGATTCTATCCCGACTTTTAGTCTATATACAGAGTGCTGTTAGAGGTATGAGGGTGGTTATCAGTACCCGGTTGTCCAAACGGTGGGAGGGTTCTTGAGGTACACGGAAAAGAGATTGGGTTAGAGGTGGTCTTAATAACCTGAGAGCTTGACCGCAGTGCCCAAAGGACACAGCTGCTTGGGGTCGGTCACACAACCTTTTTGTGAGTAATTTTCGTGTTAGCTCCGTACTTGTTGAGATCCTACCGCCAGAGACGGATATCCATGGGATAAGGTGAGGTGTGCATTTTTAGGTTTGACCTTTTCTAATCCCACCCCTCCTTGTGGAAAGGTAGCATCACTGTCATGCTAGTTGTCTGAAGGAAACACCTTACTGCTATCACACCTCTGTACAGTCAGCAGTACGACTTCACCTTCGGACCTTGGGTTTGTTGCTTTTATTCTTACCGCTCTTAAATAGATCTGTCTGACATGGTAGGACTTTGAAGAACGTCTGTCCCAGCCAATATAGCTCGATTGGTTCATCACGATAGGCAAGCTCGACCACCTTTTCGAGTTAGCAACAACGGTCGGGTTTAGTCTATATGAAGGTTATAGGAGCCTAAGCGATTACCGTATTGGATTAATTACTATTATCTCACGAAAGATAAATATATTTCCGGTATCTACCTTCGTAAGGTATACATGAATTTAAATTTCTAGTTGTGTGTAAGTCATATACATAGACTAGTCTAGGCACGACTGTATTCCAAGTCAATATCCCACTAGGAAGTGCTTGAATTTGTAACCACAGTCTTAGATCATTGGTAAGCGGGGGAGAAAATCCTCTACTTTTTATTATTCGTCCTGTTACGTGATCGGGATGAATTTATTGAACAACTTATTCTGTTTTTGAAACAGATCAACACAAGTCATCTTTTCACCATCATTTTAAGTTAGTTAAATGTACATAAAGAGTAGTAGCATTTGTATTATGTATTAATCTTTCACAGAGATAAGGCCAATTGTTGATTTCTTATAATACACAACTCCCTAAAATCTAAGATTCTTTTGGTGGTGGTGGAGGGTGAGTAGCTACTAAATTTGTTGCCTAATCGTTACATATCGATTCCAATAATTATATTAAAATATCCTCGATCATATATTCTTTATGTCTTTGTAAAGTCTAAACTATATCCGTAATGAGTAGAATGATTATATATGGTCATAAGGCAAGCCGACACTTGAAATCCTCAAGGCCAAAGGAGGAGAGGAAGACCAAAGAACATATTGCATTGAGAAATAAAGACAGATATGAGAAGAATGAACAACAATTGGATATAACTAGAAAGGAAGGCCCAGGACAGAGTGGGTTAGAGAATGCTCCAGTGGGAGTAACAGGCGTAAGTAATATATGGTCAAATCATACTAATAAGAATCATTGTTTTAATTACGGGCATTCAACGACAAGAACATCGTCTGCAGTTCTTCCCGAATTAGTGACGATCCCAAGACCTGGGAAAAGGAGGAGGGTTGGGCATGGGATTAGCGACCTCATCTCGTAGGAAACTAACTCGCTAAAAAAAACGCTAACCAGTAAGTCATTCAATGAAGAAGGTTTGTAAATGTTGTTGACTTAAGTCTAGTAGTTCAAATCATTAAATCATTTTATTTCACTTATATTTAAATAAATTTTATCATTAATAGTAGTAATAGTCATAGAAAAATAGTTGAATTTTCTTTGTTCATATACTTCACACGTTCAATTATTCAATCTAGTAAACACAAAAAACCAATTATTTACTCATGATACAAATTAACTATAAAAATTGAAACAATCTCTAATTTTTTGATTGAAATCATGAACCGATTGGTGTTAGACCACCATAGAAAACCTGGAAGCACTGGACGGCTGTTTCGTTCTATTGTGGGACTCCTCAGCAGTGCGCATCCACAATCCTGCTCGTGGAATTCGAATCCAGGGCCTTCAGTCTCGCGCGCGAACGCTTAACCCTACTGGACCACTGAGCCGACATACAATGGTGTTAAAACCTGATTTTCAATGGTGGTCTAACATCAATCGGTTCATGATTTCAATCAAAAGCTTAACAATCTTTACAACCACTAAACTGATAATTACCATGTGCTCACTAGTGACTAGCTTCGTGAGGAACTTCTCGAAGTTCTGGTGAGAAGTAACCAATGGAGCTAATTCGTGTCGGATAGAAACAGGTGTCTACCTCAGTACAATGGAAGATGGTCGCGCAACTTCGTGGCTTGGTTGGGGTTAGACATTAACACCATTGTATGCCGGTTCAGTGGTCCAGTAGGTTAAGCGTTCGCGCACGAGACTGGAGGCCCTGGGTTCGAATCCCACGAGCAGGATTGTGGATGCGCACTGCTGAGGTGTCCCACAGTAGGACGAAAAAAAACCGTCCAGTGCTTCCAGGTTTTCAGTGATGGTCTAACATCAATCGGTTCATGATTTCAATCAAAAGCTTAACAATCTCTACAACCACCAAACTGCCAATCTCTAATTATTCTTCTGTATATTACGTAATAATAATTGAATTTGTTGATTGGTCTTATTTCATATACATTTAACAGTCGATTGAATTCTTATCACTTGTACATTTTCAGGTCTTTTTCTGGTCTACTATCGGATAATGTTGTTAACTACAGTTGATCTAATAGTATTCTAAGATTAAGTATTAGTGTATGAGATTGATGAGGAGTTAGATTACACTTATAAAACTGTATATTTAAGTGTGCCTACTAGTAAATGGTAATCCTTAAAGTTCTAGTGCGAATCCATGGTCATTAAAATACAATTGTACCGGGTGACAGGTGAACAACAATCACATAATTTAACGACAGTTGGATTTAAGCTTAATTGAATAAAGGTATTGTAATTATCGTAAGATCAGATGGTTTAAATTCTCCATGAGTCTGTTATCCACTGGTTCACCAGTCAAAGTCGATTTATGATTATAGTGGCTATTAATTATGGTGATCATTATCTTAAGGAATTAAAACAATTGTGAATATTTCTATCGGCCCCCAAATGCCGTCGTACGGCCGAAAGAGGGGAGAGTCAGCTCTCCCTCCCGAAATGCTCTCACATAGCCACGTGCATACAACTACTACCACGGAAGTCCTACTCACTGCCTTTTTGGGGTGGGGTTGTTGTTTACGAAATTGAGAGGACTAAAAGCGAATGTTCGGTGCTTTAACCTAGTTGATGTATATGGAGGATCTACTTATGTGAGTTGAAAACTGATTTCAAATCAATGGTGTACATGAGCTCCAGTATCCTGAAGGAACAAATGGCGTAGGAACCAATTGTTGATCACCGACTACCATGCGACCGCATCTCCTGATATTGCTTCACTACCTTGTGGATTAGACATTTAGGCCAAAGACTTAGGTTGTGGCTTCCTAAGAAAACCGCCTGCTTCTGTTTGGGCACCCAGACAGTATTCTGATTTATGTGGTGCATATCTGTTTGGTGCATTATTATACCAAGGCTTATGTGTTTAAATAAATCAATAAGAATATTTATATCTTAGTGACTATACGAAAGAGATTGTAAAATATTTGAACTATTTAAAATGAATAAATAATTACACATACATTTTTCGGGGGGGGGATCATTTCTCTTCTTCAGTTTGATTAGCACGTTCAGCTTGTAAATGAATCAATTTTTTATATAATAAAGGCCAAAATTCCGGATGATTTGCATCACGAATTGATTGTTGAATATTAGTTATATAAGTAGTAGATTCTACATTCAATTTTGTTGCACTTTTTATACGTAGAAGAGGTATATGATTTGATCCATTTGAATTCATATCAGTTTTATCAGAGAATTTTCCTGATGTCGATTGACTTGAATAAATGTTATGTGACTTCTTTTTTTATGTGTTTGTATGCGGGGGTGGAGGTGGTGGCGGGGGAATGGGATTTACGACAATAAATAGGTAAGTTTGTTACCATAGTGATTAATAATTCTGAACATTTTCAATAGGTAAATAAACATTTCTCTTGTTGTACGATTTGACATCGGTTATAATTTGAATTAAAGTTAAACTTTATTTGTGACTTTACCATTGAAATTGTTTCTTATATTCAAATCAGTTTTAACTTTCAAAACATATCTCTCTTTATGACATCTTTAACTTGATTCTCAATACTTAACTTTTATGGCTAATAATTACTAGTTATAATCATTTTAATTCATTTACTGTCTTGAGTTCTGTTAGAGGTATGAGGGCGGTTATCACATCCCGGTCGCCCACACCGTGGAAGAGTTCTTCTGGAGGTCCATGAAAAGAAAATTAGATTAGAGGTGGTCTTAGTGATCTGAGAGCGTGACCGCAGTACCCAAGGGATAACTGTTTGAGGTCGATCACACACGACCTTTTTATGAGTAACTTTTGTGTTAGCTCCGTACTTGTTGCGACCTTACCACCGTAGACGGATATCCATGGGATAAGGCGAGATGTGACATTTTTAGGGTCGACCTTTTCTAATCCCACACCTCCTTGTGGGAATGCAGCATCGCTGTCATGCTGGTTGTCTGAAGGAAACACCTTACTGCTGTCACACCTCTGTACAGTCATCAGTACAACGTCACTGCTTTTATTCTTACCGCTCTTCAACTGACCTGTCTGGCATGGTAGGACCTTGAGGAACGACTGTTCCAGCTAGAATAGCTCGATTGGTTCATCACAATAGACAAGCCCGACCACCACGTCAAAGTAGCAACAACGGTCATTTACTGCGAATGTTTTTAATTTAATTCTATTGTGATGATATTGATAATAGCTTGAGCTTACTTACTTACTCGTGGAGGAGCATAAACCACCCACTAGCATACTCTCCATGCAACCCTGTCCAGGGCAATCCTTTTCAGTTCTCCTCAGTTGTTATTTATCCTTTTCATATCTGTTTTTATTTCCTGACGTAATGTGTTCTTTGGACATCCACTTTTTCGTTTTTTTGTTCAGGATTTCAAGTTAGAACTTGCCTCGTGATGCAGTTTGGTGATTTCTGCAATGTATGTCCTATGCATTTCTATCGTCTTTTCCTAATTTCCTCTTCAGCTGGAATCTGGTTTGGTCTCTCCTACAGTAGGCTATTGGTGATGGTATCCAGCCAATAGATGTTGAGTATCTTTCGTAGACAAGTGTTTATAGATACTTGCATCTTCTTGATGATGGTTGTAGTAGTCCTCTAGATTTTAGCTCCGTACAGTAGAACTATCTTGACGTTCGAATTGAAAATTTTGGTTCTAATGTTTGTTGATAGGCAGTTGTTTTAAGTTCCATTTTTTCTCTAATTGTAGTAATGCGACCCTTGCTTTGCCAATCCTCGCCCTTCGTCTGCATCTGATCCTCCTTGATTATCGATGATGCATCCCAGGCACGTGAAGGATTCCTCACCCTCCAGAGTTTCACCATTAAGTGTTTTTGAGTTAGTGTTCTCCGTGTTGTATTTGAGGTTCTTGTTTTTCCCTTTGTGTATGTTGAGGCCTACTGATGCAGAGACTGCTGCTACACTAGTTGTGTTTATCTGCATTTGTTCGTGTGTATGGGATAGGAGGGCTAGCTTCAGCTAACTTAGATTTATACAGACTATTTAGTTTGGAGTCGGTACGATTATCGTAACTAATGGTTAGAGATAGATCAAATGACTTAGAATCGGTCATAATCATGGGGATCTATTCACACTTTAGACTTCGGTTTCAAAATTAGGTAATACCTTTTTATTCCACAAATTTATATTCCCTTTTTGAACAACATAGTCTCTGGATCATCTTTTCTTTTACTATTCATACTGTTGCTACTTCTGCTACTCTAATATCTTGATGTGATGATGTGTATTAACTGGAACCGATGCATATGAGCCAGGTTCTAATTTACATATAACTGGAATGACGGTTTGAGCTTTGTTATGCCTTTAATAGTGATGTGAGTTAACAAAGGGGTTCCTACACCAAGTCACTGTATTCACAACCTTGTGTCTTTGCATTTATATGGTATCTTTCTCTTATCTACTCGTTCAGCAGACCCGCATTTTATAAATTCGTATTGTAGATTCTCTAATAATAATAGTATGCTAATCGAAATTAGTTTTTCGACGATTGTTGCCGTTATAAAATACGATTGTAATTTTACATGAGGGTTTGTGGAGACTGGAATTTTCATAGTTTAAATCAAAAACCGATCTCAAATAGTTGTTTTAGCCTAGGATATCGTCATTCATTACCAGTACCCATCCACGAACTCCACCACAGTAGATCGAACCTAAGATCGGTATTAAGTGCGAACGCGTAATGTCCATAGACTTTAGGGTTAGGTAGATCACTCCCTGACACTCGAATTACTTAAAATCCACTGTTTACAGCTTTTCAGTTTATAATTTAATTCATAAATGTTTTGCAGTCGTCGCAACCCTCCGTATAGAATAATAATTATGTACTCACTGTCTACATTAGTAGCATACACCACATTAGTTCGTGATTTGATCTATGAACATTGTTAATGATGAAATGACTAATGTATAAGGTTAGTCGGAATAAATTTGTAGGTCACTTGAGACTTTGGAATTAATAATCAGAATATTCAGTGAGTGAAATAAATAGATTTAGGCAAACAACTATTAATACGATAATAATCATTGTAAATGATTGGTTCACACTAGCTGTATGACCTGTTTGTAATAACTGGACTGAATCGAACAGAACTGTTAGTTCTCCCTCTTCAAATGCTCTCACATGAACATTCGTATACAGGCACAACAACACAAGTCCTACTCACTCATTTCTCGCACCACGGATGTTGTTTACGGAATTGAAAGGACGAAAAGCGAATGTAAGGTGCTTTGAACGTGGACCGGTGGATCCACCTAGGCTTCAGGATCCCGAAGAAACAAGTCGCGTATGAACCAATTATTGGTCACCGGTTACCATTGGCCTACATTTCGTTGGTTTACTGTCTTGTGGATCAATCTTTTAAGTCAAAGGCTTTGGGTATGGCCCCCCTAAGAAAACCATGTATTTCTGTCTAGGCACCCGGTCAGTATTCAAGCCCACACAAATTGAATGATGAAGTGTGGTGCAATTGATTATTGTGTATTTATGAAAATATTGAAATGTTTGTACCTAAAGTGATAGATGCATATCAAGTGATTCTGAATTACTCTATTTCCATCATCGAAAACTAATGAATCTTTATTTGATATAAATTTATTACTTGTAAATGATTGTGTTTTTTATTCGTTAGCCTTAATAATAACTATCTAATACTTTTATAACACTAACTATCAGTCAAGTATACAACTAAGGAATGATAGAAGTTTACATTGGAACGATACGTTAAGTATTAAAATGTTGAAGAAAATTTCTCTCATTTATATTTTTTTTTGTAATATCAAAAGGGGTTTTTGTGAATATTATGGTAATTTCAATGTTTGTGATCATGAGTCAATTCAAGCTACACCACCATGGGAAACCTGGAAATACTAGACGGTCGTTTAGTTCTAATGTGAGATTCCGTAACAGTGCGAATTCACGGTCCCGCCTCGCGAGATTCAAACTCAGGACCTATCACTCTCGCGCGCGAACCAGCATTCAATGGTGTTAATGTCTAGCTTCACTGCTGATGAGTCCTACAACAGGACGAAACGACCATATAATGCTTCCAGGTTTTCCATGGTGGTCTAGTTTCAATTGACTCATGATTTCAACTACTGAAATTAAATTTATTACCAGAAAATTATGTAAATAAAAAAATAATAAAAAACTTACAATGATTGACTCTTTTTTAGTTGATTTTTGTTTCATTTGATTGACATATTTAGTGCTTTAAAGAACAAAATGAAACATAAATGAAGAATAACTGAATGAACAAGGTATTGAACTATGTATGAACTTATATTCGAACAAAGAATAAGTGAATAGTAACCGTTAGGATCTATTTATGGACTAATATTATACGAATACTCTTATTGTATAACCATTAAGTAACTATATTATATGTATATACATATTCCTTTTATTATAAGCTTCCTTTTTAACCTATTGACTACTGTTATACGATTTACTATTTCTGAGTTATTCTCAACTTATTAGTAGCAGTATTTCACAGTCATAACCAGTTTTTGGCTGGTTTGGTTTGGTTTATATGTAAACCCAGTATGTTTGAAATATATGAATCATATAATGAAGGCTGATATTTGAGTTCTAGACTCAATTGGCTGAGTTAGATAAGGAGTTACTATTTCAACGGATCAATAAGAACTTTCAGTTGCTCCTACAGGTTTATGTGTCATTAGTCTGATCGTATAAGTCAATGTCTCTCATTGATGATATTATCTCATGATATATATATTAATAGGCTAGAAGCTATAACAGATTCACATAGAAGAAAATATGAAACCATGACTCGTCGTTCATATGAATGATTTTCATGAGTGTTAAGTTTACTGAACTAAAGTCGTTAACTGCCGATCATCATCATCATCATCACTATCAGTCCAATACTTTTAATTAATGTAGATGTGATTGATTAATCACATGATTAACGGTCAGTTTAACCAGATGAAAGAAATGATAACGCTTCTAAGAGGAATTGGTTAAAAGTGTTTATTGAACGTGATACTACCAACAAGAACATAAAGTCGAAACTACTCATGGGATGATTAACCTTTCTATCGATGAGAGATAGAAATTAAGGATGATATCTTCCTTTTAACCCAATAACCAATGATTATTAATAGTCAACTTCTAGATAACGTGATAAATCCTTTGAGTATATGATATTCAGTATAGAAAGTTTGTAAAGAGCCTAATAAAATGAAATAGCTGGCTTATAATTACAGACTATAATGCATTTTTATTTGAATGTAAAGTATCGTATAATTTGACAACAATGAATTATATCTCCTAGTGACGATTAAATCACGAGTAACTTCTGCTGAGACCTATTCATTGACTAATATTATCTATACATTCTTATGGTATAGACTATTCAATAATTAGATTATATATATTTATATTTCCCTTGTTATAAGCTTTATTTTGACCTATAATTTATTATTCTAAGATTTATTGTTCTTAAGTTATGTTCAGTTTATTGACTACGGCCTCCCACGTTCACAGCCACTTTCTGGCTTTATTGTGTACAAATGTTATTTCCTATTTTATGGTGCGTTGCGGTCTGTTTGGTTGATAAATAAACCCAATATGTCTGAAATAAGTGATTCGATTCAATTAGCATAGTGGGAGCTGGTATTTGGTGTTCTGGACTCAAGTAGACGGGCAAAGCGGACATACGACCAATAAGGACGCTAGACTGCCCATAAATGTCGAACGTCATTAGTTTGGCTCAGTGCGAAGATTGTATAAGTTGTATTTTAATTGATGGATAGATCACATGACAAAAAGCCGAACATAAATTCATAACAGACTGAGGTATTAATACTCATGGGAAAATAGATTATGTAACTTTTACTAACTATCTCATGGAACTCTGCTTTCTTAATGACGAAAATAATGCATTTGTTATGGATAATTAAATTAAAACTAACCTGGTATCTGCATTAGAAACTTTATTCATATTATTAATACGACCTGGACCAGTAGGACAGTTATTCACCCATAAATGACGATTCCCAGACATAGTAGTAGTAGTAGTATTAGTAGTAGTATTAGTATTAGTAGTAATAATAGCATTTAATGTTGACTTGGTAGGTTTTACTTTTATTTCAGATAACTGAGGTTGAAAATTACTTGTTGTTGTTGTGCACGTTGATTTAAGATGTGATTGTTCAGAAAAACTTTCACTGTTTATCTGACTGATATCGGATTTCTCTGAGTGCTAAAACCAAACATTGTCTCTAATGAATTCTAGTCGGAAGCGAAATGAAAACTAAAAGAATATTATGGCCAAGCTATAAAGCAGTATAGTTTGTTTGATCACTGTTGGATTTTGACACACTTCATGGAACAGAAACAATGAGTCTACACAGAGACTGGCACAATAATTTGACAAAAATTAATAATTTATTGTGATAACATTTCATTTGATTTTGTTACACTTCATATGATAAGCAAATGAAGATAAGAAGGGGTTTTGTGGAGATTTTAGAAATTTCAATGGTTGAAATCATGAGTCAATTGAAGCTAGACTACCATGGAAAACTTGGAAGGACTGGACGGTCGTTTCGTCCTAGAGTGGGAGCCCTCAGTAGTGCTCATCTACGATTCCGCCATCGGTGGGATTCGAACCCAGGACCTAACAGTCTCGCGCCATGCGCTTAATCAACTAGACCACTGAGCCGGCATCTAACGGTGTTAATGTCTAACTTTAACCAAGCCGTCCAGTGCTTTCAGGTTTTCTGTGGTGATCTAGATTCAACTGACTCATGATTTCAACCATGAAATGAAGATAAGTCATTTTGAAAGATATTTTTTGATATTTTCTAGGAGAGAATATATTTCTATGTAAAGCTTTATACATGTATTTATTTTGTTAATTAACAGGAAAGAAGGTAACAAAAGTATTTGAAACCAGTGATACTTTATCAGCTTAATGATTTGTCAGTAAAAAGCGTTTCAATTATACTATAAAGATAAATGATTAATGGTCATATTTTCTTTGGAATTCGTTTGGCTTTAATTTAAAAGTGAATGTTGTCAATGACCTAACAGTTCATCCACTTAGATCATTTCAGTTTACAATCAAGTCGAATGTAGTGTTTTAAACACGCGTTATTCAGAGTTAAACGAACTGTTGCATAAATTTTAAGCTAAACAAAACATACAAAAGATTAGTGAGCCAGTCTGTTAAAAGCCGGAATAAAATACTAACGTACAATATTTTGGAAAATATAGAGAATCAATACATAATCTCCGTGATCGAGGCTGATATCATATTTTAGGTTAGAAAACGAAGATGAACGGTTTGTTAGATTGTAAAATGTTTTAAAAATTGGTGAGGATCAAATAATTATTTTGTCGTACTAGCTTTACACTGATCGTACATTAGTAATTTAGCTCCTGACTAGAAAATTGTATTTTCACAGTACGATATAAGGAGATTTTATATCATGATTAGAATTAAAAAATTTCTTACATTGTAATTTTTTGTATCCATTTCAACAACTATTGATTTATTGAATTCTTCTACTGGTCCTTTGTCTTGGTTATGATCTTTTGAACTAGAATTCAATGTACAATCCCGTCTATATTGAAGTATGTAAGCATGCGGATCATCATAATGATAGAATTTGTACTGTTTACCGATTCTTGTTGGTTTTTGGTAAGAGAATTTTTCGGATTTTCCACATCCTACACCTCCCATAACATTAGGACCAGTTGTTCGACAAGCGGGTTTAAGACATACCGAATCAAAAGCATTCTGTTCACCCCATCCACATAAATTTGTTGTAATTGTTCTGTTTACATCTGACTTGGGTGGATTCTTCGATTAATTATGAAAATAAAGAAAAAGCACAGTTTACATGAGGGATACAAAATCTTTAAAGAAAATCAGTCGCATATCACTTCATGAAAATAAACTGATTTAAAACTTATGGGATAATTTGAAGTGGTCACTTCCACCTGGATCAGGTAGCAATTATATCGAGTGAAGTGATAATAAAACCTTACCGACTGAACCATTCTACTAAGGGATCAAAACTTTATGGAATTCAATTTCAGGCAGTCAGTCAGTGACAACGTAAAACTTCGTACGTACGTACATCAGTTCGAGTTGCCACACCACATTAGCGCCGAGATGCACTTGTCAATTCAAATCCCTTAGTGGTAGAGGCAGTAAGAGCATAAGCAGTAATTGGAAAGATTAGGGTTTGAAAATGTTATTTAAGGAATATAATCTAGTGACATAAATTTGGAAAGAGAAAAAAGAGACAAGAAGGATTCAGGAAATTACAATTTGGGAGAACAGAAAGAGTGCATGCACCTTCACCATTGCAAACGATTTTAATCCATGTCATTCAGGGTCTCCAACCATCGATTGCTATCACTTCGCGTTCCCCAACCAGGTAGTCTACACCTACCAACATAGCTCAGTCTACTTGTCAGTGACTTCATGGATTTGTGCCATGTTTTGGTCTGGACCAGTTATCGTAAAAAATAAGAGACAAACTATTTTAATAATTAATAATGATTAATAAGATGTAAAATTAACTTCTCTACAATTTGTGTCGAAGAACCATTGGAATTGATAAATACTAACTATTTTCATTATGAAATAAATAAACAGCTATTGCACGTGTAGACTGCTTGGTTGAAAGCCGCAATCGTAAATTAGTCCATGGTTAGAAACCTTGAGTGACATGGGATTGAATTAATTGCATTGTAGATGTGTTCACTAAAAATCTTACTTTAGATAACAAGATTTTCATTCTTCGACTTTACCCGTTAATTTCAAATTATATTATGTAAGTTTAGTCATGGCATTAAAATTATCGTCTCGATTTCTTTGTCATCCATGTTTTGACTTTGACCCAGGTATATACATTTAAAGCCTTAAGCTATTTGTTACTGTCTGGCAAGTAATCAAACTAGATTATACATAAAGTACAGAAGTCTAAATGGATTTTAAGTGTTTTATAGTTGACTGATATCATATAAAGTATCATTCCAAATCGGGACAGCAATAAGATGTCGAGGTAGGACTCTAATTTATGGACGAGCCAATCAGAGGCGTTTAAGGAGCTTCAAGGTCACGGCGCTAAGTTTAATGCGAGATGCTCACATTCGATCGTTTTACAGCAGATTTTAGAGAAGAGGTGATTGTTGAGAGACTACAGCAGATGGGACTATTGAGAAGTTCCTGTGTTTGTGACTGCGGCAATAAAATGACCGCAACACGATGTGCTGACTACCGTGATGACATTGTATTTCGTTGTACTTTATGTTGGAGAAAAAAATCTGCTCGAACTGGCACTTTTTTTGCCCGGTCACGGCTAAGGCTAAGACAAATCATGATAATCGTTGCAAATTGGATCATAAAGTCTCCAGTAACATTATCTGCGGCTTTTGCAGATGTTACGGAAACTTCCGCCGTTCAGTGGTATGAATATTGTCGTGATATATGCGCAATGAAAATGACACAAGTACATGAATCATTTGATCCAACGACTGGGGTCCATACAAACAATATTGAAGGCATGTGGTCAAGGCTGAAGTATTTTTTAAGACCTTACCACGGCTCCAGAGGACGATTACTATGGAGCTATATGGACGAGTTCTTATACCGCATGCACTATGATTTCAAAACTTCCGAACCTTTATCAAACCTCAACAAGTTCTTAAATCATGTAAAAGAAGAATATCCATTGTAATTCATCAGTTTTTTATAATATATTTTTACTTTATACTAACTCTCTTCTGATTGGCTAATGTTCTCAAGGTCACTTAAAAATTCGTTCAAAGGTCGTCCATAAAATAGAGTTTCACCGATGTCGAATAGTACAGTCAAAACGACATCTTCAAATTAATGAATTAGAAAATAAGTGGCCATGCTTTAGAATTAAATGGACTTGGCTAACCTTACTCCATGATGGACCTAACTATGAAATATGCATTTTGCACGAACCTATACGAATACTGTTTGCATTAATTTTGAGTAAAAACTTCATCTTTGAAACGGATAGAAAGATGTAAACTTATAAATCTGTAGATAGATGACTTAAACTGCAATAAATAAATAGCTCTAAATAATAAATAGTAAGTATAATGGAAATAACTAAAAATTAAATTTGAAAAAACGAGACTTAGTTGAAATTAAGTTGAACATACTGTGGTCTGTCCTGCGTTTCTTTTATTCGACGCTGGTTCCAACTTCATTCAAGGTCGACTTTTAACTTGGAACAGGTTTAGGAAAAAATACTTCAGGGAAAAGTTTCTAGGGGATTTACTTTGGAAGTGCGAAAGAATTAAAATTCAAAAGGAATCACTATCCATTTAATAATAATGGTTAGTCGGTAGAAGAACGTAGGAACTTCAACAGATATGCCCTCATGAAAATGACACAAGTATATATATGTATATATGATAAAGAGTCAAAGTGCAATCAGAACATGTGTTGAACACGTGTACACAACTTCCTTTCTCGAAAACACAGAGAGCGCTCACAATGAACTTACACTTAATTACAGAACCAACAGACAACAACTAGAGATAGAATAGGCTTCAAACTAAGATAATCTAAGAAGAGAAACTTAAAGCAAACACTTCGACACGCTACTGGATACACTTTTAAACACACGCGTTTTTCGTAACTCAGATACACAATGAAATACCCTTCAAATTAATGAAGGATGAATTAAACAAACAATAGAACATTCAACTTCATTATGACAAATCTAATTAAGGCTAGAGAGGCAATAAGGTAAATACAACAAGCTGATTTTGATCTTTGTAAAAAATAAGCTTGTAGTGATCCACTTTTTGTGACCTGCACTGAAGAGTTACTGTTTCAGTTTGGGGAGGATAAAAGGTCTGTAGTCTGTGTTAATCCTGACAACGGAGGTCGACTTTCGTTTGAAAGTGCCGACAGGTGGGGTCTTAATAACGTTTTGGGGTAAAGAATCCTTTTCATTGATGATTATATGGGGAACTCGTTGGTCAGCTGACAACTGGTTTTTTCTAAACCTGCAAACTTTTCTAAGAGTGTTCTCGTGAATTGTCTATTTTTTTGGGAGACAGGAAAGATGAGGGCATATCAGATGTTTATTCAATATTCGATAATTGAAAAACTATGATCTGGTCCTTGTTTATGACAAGAGAAATATATTTAGTTTTTCCTGTCGGTCATCATACATTAGCTCTGTGAATCCGGAAAACAGATCAGTTGTACTTCTTTGAACCTTTTCCGACAGCTTTTTGTCTCTTTTCAGGCAGGAGCTAGCCGCTTGTATGCAGTACTGAAGTTTAGGATTAACAAACACTGTAGACACAGTCTAAAGGTTATTAACACCGAAACAGTTACTGCTCTACTCATAGAATTTGTGGCCCCAGAGCCTTTTTCGTCTATGGCACATCAGTGTATAGTAGTTTTTGTGCCTCGGCTAACGATGAATTTTAGGTCGTTGTGTGTCTGAACAAAAAGTAGTTAAATGTTATCCTTCGTGTATATATCTGCATCTTGGTGACCAGTATGCATCATAATGCAATTGAAAGCATTTGTCGGCAACTGTCAAACGTAGACCATTCAGATCATTTCTCACGGTTATTTTGGAGCTCCGAGCTATCACCTTCTCTTTTCATCGCTTTAAATAGCTTGATATGGTCAATATATATCAAGACCGGTAATAATAAGAGACGAAGATGGTCAGTTACATACTGTAGGAATAACACCAGCCCCAAAAGTGTGCCTTAAGACACTTCATTAAGCACAGTTTCCCAGCTAGCCAACCTAGAGTGCACTCATATTCTTTTGTCAACATCCAACTAAGAAGTTCTTTATTCACATAAAAAGGCCTTCAATTCTGACGCCACTTAAACTAGATGACAGATGGTTGTGTGAAACTTTGCTGAAAGTCTTACTGAAGCCAGCGATTGTTACATCATTATGTAGATTGTGATCTTTAAAAATGCGCTGACGTTCACGGGATACTCTTAGTTTTTTGAGACATGGGTATTGTTTGGATTCAGATACTAAAATAACTGCTTCCGAATAATTTTTTCTTAAATTTTAACAATTATTCTGATTGGACCTACAAGTTATCAGGTTTGAGTCGTGCACCTGTATTTAAGATAGTACTTACTATGGCATCCTTCTAGTGTTTTGACTATTTACCATGGATTACAATGCGTTCATTTGTGTCAATCTAGTTCTTTTTACCGTTAATAGTACTATTTCGGGAATTCCTGGTTATTATAATAATTATAATACTTCTAATAATCGTATTGGTATCATGATGGAGCCAGTGTTTGAACAGTTGAAGATATATTCAAATTCCAAAGTTTTAAAATCTAGGGTATGACCAGGTAAGATGTTGAGGATGCTACGATGTTGTTGCGTTTTCTCACATTTATTTGTAAAGGACGATGATAGCCTAATAAAAGCCTTAACATTTCCAGACACTCCGATTTCACTCCCCTTCGGAACTCTCAAAAAACCATTACCAAACCATGTGAAGTGTGCTAGTTTCGAAAGCCATAAAAGAATTGCTTTTCACAATTTTATTATTTACACTGGAAGTATCGAGCCCACCATGTCTTTCGGAACGCTCATTTCGTTCCACCTTCTTTAAAGTGCATTGTTCAGGAATTCTTTACAAGCTCGTTATTTTAACTACTTCTAACATCATAACTATCCCAAATGTACTCTCCCAGGTGGGAAGTCTCCTTACGAAGCTAAGTCTGGAGAAAGTATTCTGACTATTTTCAACGCTGTGCTGCCACCTAAAATAGTTGGTGACACAGAATGAATCCGAATATCCAAAGTTTATATGTGAGAGATAAAATGCTCATCAAGTCATACCTCAGGAGGTACTGTTGTGAATCAGGATCAATCATAGAAAGATTGGTAGGAGTTTTGTTCAGGGTCCGAGTAGCTTTCAGGACATGTATCAGTTACACGAATCCAGTCCATAAGGACAAAAGAATGATGTAAACTAGAGAGAGACATGTGAATCTAACATTAGATTTAATCACAGATACATCAATGACAGTTTCTTTAGAGAATCATGGAAAGAACAAAAGAACAAAGAATTGAACAAGAAAGACAGCAAAAAGAATGTAACGCTGCCTCAAACCATTTGTCAAGCTACAAATGCACCCCAGAAGAATATCAACGTGAAATACTACAATCGGACAATGGCGAAAATTACCTACTTGTAGATTGTCTAAGTTATCATGATGTAATAACCAGTACCAATAAACATGAATATCCATTTTTGATTCTTACCTAATAATCACTTCGCCTGCTTCTCCCGTCTCCTGCTTCACAACTGTGAAGTTTCACTTATTCGTGTGCTATTATTTGTATATCGTATTCTGACATAATCAAGTAGAGGATGCAATACAACCAATCATGATATGGTTAAGTTTGAAGATATGAGTAGTTGGATGTTCAGATTTGGTGATTTCATGATATTGTGTCTTGTGCATGACTTAAATATAACTGATTATATTCTACATTTGAGTGATGATGAATTTCACTGAAAAATTCTAATTGAAGTTTAAATTTCTGTTTAATCACTCTTCTGTGTTCAACGGCTAGCAGTATTATTTAACGTCAACTTAATTAAAGTGATTTTATTCCGATCACCGTCTAGCCTCAGTAAGAATTGAAGTCAGTTCACACTGCCAAGTACTGATCGTCGTTTGGATGTTAGAGGTTCAGGAATTGATATTTGAATAACTTCCACTCTTTTCAATGCATATTGACAGCTAATAAGATGTTTCTAATGGTACTAGTTTGTAACTTATACAGCGAATGATCGTAAACATTTTATAAACGCACCTGAATAGTCTATGCGAATAATAGACAAAATGATGTGTTCAAACTAACGATAACACATAACTTGTCGAAGTATTTCGATGACAGGAACAGGTAGCTCAGATAATCAAGCAGGACGCCAGCATGGGATTTCGAATATCAGGAGTCATTGACATCTATCTTCCATAGAAACGTCAATATAACTTAATATGACACATGAAAGATCTGAAAGTAGGGAAGGTTAGTCCTTGAAATGAAATCTTCATTTATGTACAGAAATAAGGCATTAAATTTACTAAAAGTGCTAAAACTGCGGCGTGGCAGTATAGTATAAAGATGAGTTTAAAACAAGCGAGATGAATTCCCAGCTATATTCTAGGTAATCAAAAAACAACGAATGTGAACAGACAGAATATACAAAAATATATCACTGTCATGACTTCTGTTCTTGTCAGTTATCCCGTGACAAAATCACCAGGGCCTAAAGAGATTTCACACATGAAATTATTCTTCTACAGGTTGCCGTGTCTGTAAGTTATAGAAATAACAACATGCATACTCGTTTTTGTTGTTGTAGATTATCTGTCATCTCGAACATTCATAAGAACCCAAATAGATCATTAAGTCATCACATTGTTCCTAGTTAGTTTTAAGTAGTTATGGTAGAAGTAAACGATCCGTGATTTCGTCATGAACCGATATTAGCTATAATGAGAGGATGCTCTGCAGCTGAGTGAATTTCATGTGAAAATTTAAAAGCCATTGTCTGACTAGTTTGTCTCTAAAATCTGATATCATTAGACTACAGTTTGTTTCAGGATTAAGTGTATAGACTTAGTATTTTAAAAAAGTGTACATTTACCTGTCATATACCACATACGGATACCGAAATGAGTTTGTGATATGTTTAACACTGTCATTCTACCCTATAATGACAAAAATCATCCTTTCGTTATGATTCTAAGTGTTTAAAGAAGTTTACATAGACATTTTTAATGTTCACTAAACAACTTATTGGAATTTTGGCGGGACTATAATTTATGGACGAACTATTCAGATATAAGATAACGCGTCACGAATTTTGGTGCGAAATTCATCCATATATTTGGATAAATAGAGTTTTGTTATTATAGCCGATGTCAGTTCGTGATGAAAATCCTAAATCTAATTTTTAACCCTGACCATCAACTATAAATGAGAACTCTAACTGTTTTATAACACTCATTTAGTCCTGATCAGTAGGTCTCCAACCTAAGGGTCACTTCCGCGTCCCTCAAAGGTTGTCCATAAATTATAGTTTCACCGGAGTTTCATTCAGAAACCTAAAACAATTGTGTTCTTAATCCTGGTTATCTCATCTCTATATTATGCCATTACCGCACATTTATCGAATGCTTGACACTCCTTAAATAATCTCATATATGATTAGTTGATCAAGAATTTAAAAGCAATTTACTACTGATTGGTTGCTTCATAAGTATTATTCATATGGTGGGATTATAATTTATGAATGACCTTTGAGCAACGCTGAAGTGACCTTGTGAGTGCCCATCTACTACATATTACTAAATGATGATCATTAATGAATGTGAGGGGTTACGATTCTGATTTACAGTTGATGGTTAGGGTCAGGAATTAGATTTAAGATTTTCCATCACTAACTGACATTCGTTATAATACCAAAATGCTATTTAATTAAATGAATGAAGTTCGCGCCAAAATCCAAGGTCTGTTATCTTGGATCTGATTGGTTGGTTCGTAAATTCTAGTTTCGCCCAATATTTTTCCAAAATAAAAAGTGAACACACCCTGCATTTAATTCATTAGAGAAGTTTTA